ATGGGAGCTACCGAAGCGTTCCCGTATGGCATCGTTCCAAACGCGATCTAATCGCGCGACACCAGCCGTCTAGCGCAGCATCTTCGTCTCCATTACGCGAGGCGAGTTTCAGTGTCCCCGGTCGCTGGCCAGCACTCAGCGCCGTACAATTCCACTGGTCTTATGACTGTCCTATAGATCTTTGATTTTAGGCGTTCTGGGATTTTCTTGTCACAGAGAACTCCCGTCATAGAACGCCACTTGGACCAAGCCGCACTCACACGCGAGTTCACCTTAGTACTCATACTGCCATCAGACGCAATGGCTGATCCAAGGTACTTAAATGTCGTTTCACGTGTCAGCTCTACTCCATTTATTTTGATAGAACCGCACTCGCTCGTGTCGGTTGTCAGGTACTCAGTCTTCCTAACGTTCAACCTGAGCCCGAACAACGCTAGGCGATCGCACCAAGCTTGCGCTTGTTGTTCGAGAACGTTTTTGTCTTCGCAGGCGAGCATCACGTCATCAGCATAGAGAAGCGTCCATTAAGCCGGTTTCTGAAGATCTCGTGAAATGGCAACCATGACGACAACGAAAAGAAGTGGGGAAAGCGCAGAGCCCTGATGTACCCCAACAGAGATGGGGAATTCTGTCGAAACGCCAGCTGACGTTTGCACTCGGCTCTTTGGGCTTGAGTAGAGCATGCGAACCCACTCGATAAGCTCTTCGGGGACGCCATGTTGTCGTAAGGCGTACCATATTACTTCACGTGGAACGCGATCAAAAGCCTTTTCCAAGTCTAGAAAGGCAAAATGCACCGGCTTCTGTTTTTCACGGTGTTTTTCTAGCAGAAGACAAGCGGCGTGTATGGCATCAATGGTGCCGCAGCCAGTCACGGAGCTGCATTGGTTCACGGTAAGCTGGACTATGTCACGAATACGGCGATCTACAATTCATTCGAATACCTTCATGCTGTGGGAGAGCAGACAAATTGGTCGGTAGCTCGTGCAATCTGCAGGACTCCCCTATTTATTCCAAATCGGGATCGTCGTACTCTGTTGCCAACTCTCCGGCACTTTCTTTTCTGCGACGACTTGGTTGAAGAAGTTCGTCAGCCACCCTGCTGGATTCCAGCACTGTGACTTCCACAGATCGGCCGCCAAGTCGTCGAGACCCGTTGCTTTACCCGTCTTCATCTTCTTCAAAGCCGCCTCTGTTTCGCTCACAGTTATCTTCGAGACAGGGCCGTGGACCGGAGGAGCAGAAGGTATTGGCGGGTGTCAGAATCCCACTGTCAAGATTTTCTCGAAGTAGTCGCGCCACCGCTTCACGGCCCTCTCGCGGTCCATTACGAGTCGCCCGTTCTCGTTATTGATGCCAAAAACTTCTCGATATCTTCGGTCTGGCGATGGCGAGCCTTGGCTAGTTTGTAAATATAGCGTTCGCCGTCGCGCGTCTCGAGCTTCTCGCTAACGCCATCGAGATGACTGCTCTAGCAACAGCCACAGCTTTCTTTGGTGCCTTCTTCGCGCTCTGAGGTTGTTCCAATTATCGCTTGACTTGTCACCGATAAACACTTGGTAGCCTTTTGTTCTCCCGTACTTTTTCTCTGACAGTGTCGGTCCACAGCCATGTCCGCTTGTCGATTTTCCGCCGTCCAGGCTTCGTAATGCCAAGTCGGAGCGAGCAACACGGACTATCGCTTCTGTGGCACATTTCCATGTTTCGTCGACAGTCGTTACTGGCGGTAGCCGAATGCGACTGAACAGAGCGGATTCCTTTTCTTTCAATCGTCACCACTTGATCCTTGCAGGCCCACACCGTTCCGCTTTCTTGGTCCTTGAAGGGGCAATCTTTAATGTTCAAATCAGTGGTTGATGTTGCGTAGCGACCGTCTCGTACGGCACTGTCTTCGCGTACGTCACTAGTCCTCGATTAAAGAACGAAATCAATCTGAGTTCTGGTATTACTGCTGTAGAACGTGATGAGGTGTGAGTCACGATTACGATAGTTTGTGTTCACGATGGTGAGATTGTGAGAGCTTGCATATTCAAGAATTCGCTCACCATCAGCGTTTCGTGACCCATAACCAAACCCGCCATGACAACTATAACCATCTTTCGCAGATCCAACGTGTCCACTAAGGTCACCTGCGACAATGATAGCGTCCTCCGATGGTACCTCAGCGGTTTTCTCACCTAACAGGGCCCAGAACTCGTCCTTTTCTCGTTCGGAGCAGCCAGTCTGTGGAGCGTACGCAGAAAAGATGTGGTATTGACACCGCTCCATAGCAACAACGATCTTCATCAAGCGGTCATCGTAACCTTCGACATTCGCAATAGAATCGCGGAAACGTTCGGAGACGACCACACCGACGCCGCTGGTTGTCCTGGGACTGCCACAGAGAACGACTTCAAAGCTGCTGCCAATGTCCCCCGACTTACAGCAGGACCACCTCGTTTCTTGCACGGCACAGAAATCAATTCTTCTTCGCTCCAGTGCTTCTACCAACTCGCACGAGCGACCTATCAATGTGCCAACATTCAATGTTGCAACGCGAACCTTCCATACGTTGCGGGACTTTCAGACTAGCCTAGTTGCCCCCCGATGCCGTCCTTGCATCGGAGACCCTCGCATCCTTTCACACTCGCCGGGCTTTGCGAGTGCGCGTCGGTTCCCGCGGACGCCGTAGCATTATCTCGATACTCACATAGCGACATGACATTTGTGATGTGACGTGGGTGTTCGTAGGTCATCCAGCACAAAAACAACACATCATTGTACAAAGAAGAATACAAAAGAAAGAAAAAAAACATGTGCCGTTGTCCGTTGTCTTTTCCACAATTTGCTTGTTACTCTTCCATGGATTACAACATAACATTATTATAAACGACATGGGTCAGGGTATGGTCAAATATGCTCCAGTTTAGCAGAAGCCTTTCAAGCGCAGCAAAATTGGCAGCTTAGTTCATTCTTCGTTTTCATCCTATTGTCATGAATGCCAATAAAGAGGTCGTGAAAGTAAATACAAACCTATAGGGATAGAAAAAGATACGTTTCACTTGGCACAACCACATTAGAAGAGCTTTTAACATCCACTACAGATGAAATGAAAATCAGAATGAAATCACCAAATTATTCCCCACTATGAATAACCCCTGTATCAAAATTTTGGAGCAGCTTTTCTTCGAACTTTTTTTAAAACTATTTTTCGGTTTTCACCTTTTTCATAATTATCGTCACCCTGAGAAAAACAACTATCACCTGAGATCAAAGACGGATAAAAAAACCATAATGATCTATGGTTTCGCCTTTATCAAGGGCAACACCGAAGGCTCTCCGCAGCCTACTGGAATTGAGATTTCAAGGTAGATGACCATCGATTTACTTCAGCGTTTCACTTGTTGCTTTTTAAGTTCTTTTGAAGCTCGTAGCTGGCGTTTCTCCGCATAACTCTTTATGACGGAAACGCCTCTGAGATATTCTACTAAAATACGACTACAATGATCTGTTCAGTTCATCTGAATTTCGAGAGAAATGCTTCTTCTAGTTGAGTGACCAACATGGTACCTGTGCTGTTCTGTATGACTAAGGATGCTCAGCTGTAGTGATCAGCTCAAGGTAGATGCCAGATGTCCTTGTAAGGCTCTATGTCTATGAGGTATTTTTGGAATCCATTATGCAGTTCATGGAAGCGAAATGTTGACCCAACATCATGACAAAAAACACCGACATCCCCTTAACTAAAATTGTAAGCGTTGAAGTGGATCGGCCACCTTCGCAGACACTGCAAAAGTGTTCATCTCCGCAGGAACTGTTTCTCTGAACCAGTCTTATCCAAAAAATTCCAACCCTACTGAAATTATCTTGCTGTATGGTGCAACTGTTTCGCATGCTTAACTTTGTTCAATCTCTATCTAAGTTCAACTTTACAGGTTGAAGTTGTGCTTCCTCGTGATGGCTAGTGAGCCTCCGGACCATCTTTGCAGCTTTCCACACAAGGTTGCTGCATTTTTTCACCTTCTTCAGTCCACATTTTTTAAGATAGAAACATTAAATGACGTGCCACGCTGTTTCAAGAGGAAATACTGTTTGGGACAGCCCTCATAACTCCCCTCTAATCATTGTAGGAACCTTTTTGTGGATGTTCGAACCTTGCAAAATATCAGGAAACGTAGAAACTCTCCAATTATCCATGAGTAGAGCTGAGGATTTACCGAAGTGCTTTGGAAAGACTCCCAAACCGTGCCAAGCACCATGAATGCATAAACTTAACCTTTTCCCATTCCATAAATTTGGCTAATGGATGAGTTTGTAACAAACATTCAGTTCCACAAGCAGTTTGGTCGTTTCTGATAATTTAATATTCATTTTCACAGGGTATGAAATAGCGCAAAAACTGAAAAACAATCATAAAAAAGGTAAAAGAAAAGCTGCTCCTGCCAAAATTCCGCTCGGGGTTTTTCATAGTGAGAATAAGCTGGTAGTACTAGAAAAATTGTCAGTCTGCTGTTTGTCCCGGAAGTGCAAAGTTTAGGGTGACCTCTATGGAACGCACTACATCCTCGATTATCGTCTACGCATTGAATATTACTGAAATGGTTTTGGTACCACTGGTGCTTTCCATAACTATCATTCAAAATTCACGGGTGCGAGGTGCGCCAGTCGCGCTCGCAAGATTGCTCCTCTCCCATACGGCCAAAAAAGCCGAAACGCACGCTGTCGTCAATGTGTAAACAAAACGATTCAACACGACCACACCTTGCAAGTGCAACCATGCTCACTATATTAATTACTCGGGGGAAAACAGTACCATAAAATAACAGGCGAGTGGGTTCATTGCAGGCTATCCTTCAAGGCAGCACTATTGAGTAATGTTGGGGGTTTGTGAGTCAATCACTAGTATAACGCGAAATACAGAGTTGTCGTATAAACGCGACCAGGATTTTTCCAAGTTCAGTTTTTAGTAGCTCAACGACGAGTAATACAATAGTATTATGTATGTCAGGCAAACTACCTGTTGACAGAACACAAACTTCCTCAAACATGAGAGAGGCAAAAGAAAGGCAAGTGGAAGGTATATCTCGATATAAAATGTTAATGAAGTTGATAGCTGAAAAGTCGAAGGTGAATAAATCAAGAGCAGAGTCTGCGTCGTGATGCCTGGTATAAAGTGGAAAACGAATTGTATTTACCGAAGAACAGCGACTACATACACAAAATAAACGAGTTGTTTTTGTTTGTTAACTGCTGTTTTTGGCCGCAGCTCGCCTTGCGAATGTTTCACAAGTATGCTGAGTTGTGAACAAAACTTTCGCCCCAAGCAGGACTAGAACCCGCACCTCTCGCTTTCCGGGCAAGCGCTACCAGTTACGCTACCGGGGCACCATTTCATCCCAACTCAGCTTCTTATGGTATACGTACCATCATAGTTTGTCAGCTATGTACGAGCCGTGTGAGAACGTGTTGAGCCGGATAGCCGATATCGGCGACCGCGAGGCTGAAAGCTTTTTGAAACCTCTTTGATATCCAATGGAACGAACTCAGGGCAACCGTCTGTTTTGTAAGTTTAACTGGTAAACTCAATTGGGTTTCTGAATGGAGATTGTATTCCCGATTTTCAGATTTTGATGGCGGGAATGGCATTTACTGCTTCCCTAGTCCCTAGGGGCTGCGGTGGTGGAAGCTGAGTCGTGAGACAGTGAAAGGAGAGCAAGGTCATTTCTTAGTAATTGTTTTACAATTTTTATGAAAAATGGTAAAATGGGCGTGGTTCATTTGCCGTCTGAAAAGCGTAGCCCCACAGTCTTCCTCGACGATATTTTCGGTGGAAATTTAAGTGCGGTGTTGGAGTGTGCCATCTCGTCTTTGAATCAAATACTGTAGATACTAATACTCACAGTGTTGGGATCGTACAGGATTGGTGGTAAGGAGGGGTGAATGAAAATTCGAGTTTTTTTCGAACAGTCATAAGGTTGTTGAGCTTGAGTGATCAGAGGAAACAAGGCGGTCATTTAGAATGTGGAGCACTTTTTGAAACTTTATGGCATGTAGGAGCACATTCAAGGAACAAGCAGGGTTCACCTTTACTCAGCTATTTTCCGGATGCCAAAGAGATTTTTTGAAAAATGCAGTTTCCCGAGCAATAGTTACTGCAAGGGCTTAAAATGGGCCGTTGGCTTAATTATTGTTTCAAAAACTAAAAGAACTTCACTAAAACTTCAACTAAAAGGACTTTCAGTCCCTTTGATTTTCCAATTACAAACACATTCCCCTAAATAATCTTCCTGTTCTGAACGATGTTTTGCTGACCTGGAAAAGATTACACCATCAACAAACCATTTCGGAGTAATTGAATTTCACCTTCAATTTTCTGTCTCTCATTCTCAGGGAAGAGGGACGCTTTGCAACCTATAGAGTTATAAAAGTGCCCAACCTCAACTTAACTTTGCAATAAATTCCCTAGCTCCTCGCTTTTTGCAACGTCGGCATGTTACTTGTAAGATAACAGCTTTCGCTGTTATCTTACAAGTAACATGCCGACGTTGCAAAAAGCTTGTGCCTTATGAAATTAATACATGGAATATTTATTCAGTGCCTCAACGTCTTGACTGAATCGTCTTCAGAACCCTGTACCTACTCTGTTTTGGAACGCACTACTTTCATGATACCTCTTGGGCGCCGTAAAATCGCAAAGCACTAAAAGAAGGAAAAACGAAGAAAAAGGGAATATTAGGGACCCAAGTTAGAGGCGTTCCGGTTATCACCAAAAACTGTCCTCCAATAGCGAACGATCTGCCGTTAACAAGGCCGTGGAAGTACCGCACGGGGACCTGTGGAATAAGAACGTTACGTGCATCTGCTAATATTTCAGTGTAGGAAGATACAGTAAGATTCTCACCAGAAAGTCTTTCAAAGACATAAAGCACTTTTTCCAAAGTGTGAAACCAATACTTAAGGTGACAGCTTTTGCATTCCTCTGATTTCCACTTTCTCGGGCTCATAAGTGTTTAAACTTTTCAGTGAACAAAGAGCTCTCAATATGCAACTAGTCAACACTACAAATGCTGTGGAGTTCACTAAAAATGCCTCATGTCCTGTGAAAAGTTTCCTGTCCTTTTTCTGCCACTCCTAGAGCCGCTCAGAAAAAATGTTCACCGGTTTGACGCTCCGAGCCGCGCCCCTATACTATGCCACAAACCGTTTAAAAAAAAAGCTCCACGTCCTAAACAACTTTTTTGGTTAGTTAATACAAGTGAGTAAGCATCTAGGCCCGTGTTAGACTTTCCAAATCAGCGATTCACAACTAGCGAATCGGTGGATTGAAGGCCGGTGTCAGGAGTTGGGAACTGCTGGATTCGCGAAATCGGACAGCGGCCTTCTGTAGAAGCGCATCTCTCCGCGCATTTGCACACATGGTAAAATCGTCGATGACTCCAGTTCTCACACTTTTCTGATGTGATCGACTAACACGATGTCGGAACCACTAGACCTGATAAGGCTCTTCATTGTGTAGAGCGTAAGTCTACCACAGCCAAGACTTTCGAGATAGTGAACCAGCGAATGAAGTTCCGCACAACAACCCCCCCCCCCTCAAATACAACAAAACTGACAAACAAACTTGGCTTTACGTGGCTGACTAAAATGTGGCGAGAGAAATAAAAAAGCTATCACAGTTCACTCCCGATTAGAATGATGATCAGACAACTGTCAACTCTGACTTCCTCGCTATGATTAGCCAAGGTAATAAAACACATGGAAAAGGCAGCACGTAAATGTGCGTAACATCATTTAAGTGGAGTTGAGGTGGAGTTTAGGCCTGGAAAGCAGCCCCTTCAAAATCAAAGTAGAGGTGGTAGTGGTGCCGGTACAAAGAAAAAAAAGAAAAGCCTCAGAATGGGAGTTCTTGCTTGCCATGCAATTTTCATGGGCGGTGCCCTCTTCAGGTAAGCTGCTAAATAGCTAGGAACCTGCGGCAAATGGATGGCCAGTCGACGGGAGTGCCGTGCCGGTAGCGCCGCGGTGAGAGTCATGTTGAGTTGCCAGAGGCATATCCTTTTCGGGGATTTGCGTGTTGTGCCGCAACCTTTGGAAGTCCGCCGGTCTCCTCTCTGGGTACGTTTCAATTTCTTTGACAATTGACCTTATCGTGAGATACTCCTTTAAGTATCCCACCGTCCGAAAAAAATGCGACAAACGAGAACAGACACTAGTACTTTGAAGCAATTTTTACAAAAAGAGATGGCAGAACATCACCCTTCTGAACCATCGTGGCATGTGATGGAAATACCACGCAACTGGAGTGGGCACACACTGAGACTCGTAGTGAATATCCAATGCTGAAATCAATAATAATTTTGACGAAATTACATAGCACAGCTTTAAGTTGAACAAATAAACAGATAACGCCCAAACATTTTTAGAGTTGCTCGAAATGTCCTCATGTAAGGAGCAATCGGAAAGCACTGATGATATACCGCTTGTGAAAGCACTCTTTGCTAGCTGTCGAAAAGGCAAATACTGTAAGCAGCCAATCTCACAATTATATCTATGAGATCACCCCTTCAACTGTATCGCAGGCCACCACTCCTAACTCTTTTTTTGCCTTATGGAAGCGCTTTTGCATATAACCAGGGAAGGATGATGGGTCGAAGCGGCCATATGCAATCAGACCTGCATTAACCCTTTGACGACAATGGCACCCAGTGGTGGGTGCCACCTTAAAATTTCCTTTTTTGTGCATTTTAAACATCTGTAGCACCCCACTAATTATAAGCAAACTCCATAATATCTATGGATGGCACGACATACAGAAATGTTTACTAAGAGCTAATTTATGTAGAATTTTAGAATGTGCCATTTAGCTCGCCACCATATTAAATGGGGTTCTATTAGGTTGTCCCATAATTAGTGACTCACTTTGGGCATTTTTCAATTCTAATTTTTTCTTTTTCATATGAGGTGCTTGCTCATCCGAACGTACATCTCTGTTATCTACAAACCATTAGCTATTAATAGAAATCAGTAAAGTCTTTTTCTCAAGAATTCCAGAAGCTATTGATCAAAGAATGATCGAAAGTCGGGTTCAAGTCATGATTTAGCGTAAAATTTTTTCTGAAAGAAGTTAATATAACTTAGACAGACTGTCTTTAGGTGGTACGGAGATAGGCTACACGGTGGACTGAACGACTGCTAGCCTGAAGTCTCCACTTTATGAAACATTTCTTAAGGTGGGCCGAATGACCTTCAGCGATCAAAACTACAACTTTTGCTTGTTTGTACCGCTTCCAGATGCACGCGTCCCCACCTATGCTGTTCAACGCTTTAGCCTATTTCATCTGCACCTAGTAGTAGTGGGCAGCGCTTCCCAGCGTAAGGTCTCTTTCTGCTCCACCAACACCTCAGAAGTGTCGGACATACAGGTCCGACAGACGAAGCTTAGGCTATTGCTGTCAGCACTCCGGATACTTTTAAGCTAGACTTCTGCTACTTGTGGATTTGCTAGTACAATTCACCCACTTCACAACACTGGCGAATTCGCATGATGATTGTTGAAAGGAATTCTGGGAAATTAGAGGGAACATGACGATTCCATATCGTGTCTGGGGAAAGGTTTCAAAAAAATTGAAGTTTCAGCCTCGGAAGGCAACATTGAATGGGCTGACTAGTTGCTCAGGTAAGGCATTGTGGGTACTACATGGCAAAACATGTTTCGCGCCTTCTAGATTTTTCTTCGAATTTATGGCAATAAATGTAAAGTGAGTCACTAATTATGGGACAACCTAATAAATTATAAGGCCGAAAATTAATTACTAATCAGGACTTCTTCGTCTTCTCGTAGCCCTCAGATATGGGAAGGGGTTTAAAGTGTACCGAAATTTCTCTTGGACACTCAAACTTTTGAAGGTTTCCCCTTCCTTCCCTTTGAAACGCGAGTTCCCCGTCTAAATTTGAAATTCTCTCGAAAATAATTCACAGTATGAAAGTTTAGAATAGCAGTTATATTTAGTATACAGTTAGAGTCGAAAATTCTACAGAAAATTGCTTTGAAGGACAATTTTGCCGGATTAAGAGCGAGAGTTGGGCGCGCCAAAAACAGGCGTGGTCCCACGAGCAAGCTACGTGCAAATCCGAATTGTCTTCAAAGGCTTAATGGATGTGTTTTTGAACGCTCATCTCGAATCTGCTTCCCAAATCTGCCAATCGATTTCCTCAACAAGTTATGAGGAAAATAGATCAGCAGTAGCCGGCTGGGCTCATGAGCTGAAGGACATCCATAGGATCGGTTCTCTTACGCGCTCTCCCTTTCTATTTCACGACAACATGGCTGAAAAAGGGTTTGCAAAAAGGGTTAGCGACTACGTTGACAACGTTGCCCATAATTACTCGCAAAGAGTTTCCGAGGGGTTTCTAACAGGTTTGAACGCTACTTGCTACGACTGCACATGGAGTCGGCCGTTTTTGCTTTTAAAATTTGACGGCGCATTAATTTTGTTTGCAAGACTATTAGATTTTGTGATCGAAGGACCACACACAGTAATGTTGAAGTAAACCCTTATATTTCGAGAACAGCACGTTTCCACCTACCACACCAACAGAAAATTACCAGAATGTGGAGATGAAATATTCAGAAATGGCAAGAGATCTCACCTGACAACCCCCACCATGCTGGACAACCACTCTGCAGTTTTACTACTCCCGACGCAAACATCAGACGACACATTAGCCAATTGATGAGAAATATTGCAATCTGAAGTTGTACGTCACACATATAGCAATCAAAAGAATTTGTTAGGACAGTTTGCTCTGAAGTTGTACGTCACACACATAGCAACCAAAAGAATTCGTTGAAACAGTTTGTCGTGATTTACCTTCTGTCCCTCAAAAATATCACGCATAAAATTAACTTGGTTTTTTCTCTTCCTTTGGGTGCCTTGATTTTTGAAGACGTCAGGATTCAACGACCGAAAGATAGAGCGTTGGAGCGATACAAGTCAGAAGAGGATAAGTACAAAAAATCTTCCGACGAACACATTTGAATGGTAAACTGGGTCATTGAATTGGAATATCCCAAAAGTGATGGGCGTTTTGTCATATCGTCAATTTGCCAACACTTGGTTCAGTACCGTTACCAATCTAGTGGGTTGTCCCATAGTTCCTGTTCGATTTTTGATCGAATTCAAATTTTTTTGAGCCAAATTAGTGTCACTGCGAAATATACTGGTATGTCAAAGGGTACCATTAGTCAGGGGGTTTCGGAAGGTGAAGCCAGCATCAAGATATGAAATTAGAAGGCGAAATAAAGCAAAAGAACGACTATGCTTTACTATCCTCAAATAAACGCTGTTGCAAGGAGGACAGCACAGAGGATTACCGCTGAATTTGGCTCATTCTGTGCTACTGATCGGACATGAGCTAACGGTTCGGCCGCAATAGCAGAGGCGATGCGAGGGCTTTACTCATTTTCGATTGGGGCCTCTTGAGCCATAATTGGAAGTGTACATGAACGCCTACAAGTGATCTATTGCAGACATGAAGACAAACGCGATGCACCATCGCTCTAAACTTGAATAAAAACTTCTGCAGCAGAATGAGGCCTCGATGGGAACTGGGAACTTTCATTAGTCGATCACCAATGATGATGAGTTATGAGTCCACTGCGACAACAACACGTGGCACGCCTGATGGTTACTTCGCACCCAGGACTCACGGGCTCAAGAAAGCCCAAAGTCAGGTTCGTACGACATTGTTGTCGACTTCTTAGGCCAAGTAGGTGGCCCGATTTCATAAGCTTTTTGCTATATGTAGACACGTTTCGTGTGGCCCCTTCCACAGTGTCAAAGCATCCAAAATTACTTGGGAAATTGGTGCATATTGGTGACTAGGAGAATGGTTATAATTGCGATCAATTGGTTTTTGGAAATATAAAAGACGAAGAGAAGAAAGTGTCGAAATTCGGACAGCCAAATTGTATACCTTTCTTACACGTCCCTAGTGCATTCTTCTAGGTAAATCAGCCAACCGAGGGCGACTGAGATTAAATACAGCTCATTTTTGTGTTCCATGCAAGTGCCCCTATAACACGGAAAGATCCGTTTTGAAGAAGCGCTCCAAGCCCTGAACAACTTTCTTGGTATGATGCGCACACGTAAAATCAAACATTCAGCGCATCACAGCTGGTTTTGCATGTGCTATAAGTTATTCATAATTGATCGCAAAATCGGGCTAAAACACTGCCCGACTTCTCACGAGTGGGAGCGTATGATTATGGAACACAATTAATTCGAAAATGACTCGAGATTCCAGTTGAAGGTACAATCTCTGGAACTAATAGTGTGAAAGAATAACTATAAATGCATTTACTAACCGAGTCCAGTGGAGAATCAGAGAACGCCGCAAGGAGAGCCATGAGGAAACCCGACTCCAACAGCAACGTATCCCATTGATACCAGAGAAAAATACCGCCAGCCTTAATTAATAATAATTCTATAGGCAGCATAATTCTACTCAAGAACAATGGGTAGTCAGTACAAATTTCTGACATGTCCTTTCCTTGCCATCATTATCAATCGCTCATAACCCATTCAATCTGGAGTTTCTGTTTCAGGCTCCGAATGAGAAGAAGGAGGAAGAACGAGAGCAAAAGATGGAAGAGTGGAATTAGGTCATCTGCATGTGACCTGCGTAGCACTAATAACTTCTCACATTAAGGGGTAAAGAAGTTCGATGTAGATCAATCGCGCTCACAGCCGCTTCCGATTCCAAGGGCAGTTTCTGTCGCTAGTAGAAAGAATCCTCAATTGGCGTTCCAAAGTGCAATATTAGTGCCTCTACAGTTGCTCGGCATCTTGTAAGGATTACATCGGAGTGAAGCTCTGGAAAATTCCATTGAAGGTGTCTCCATTTACATTGGTGATGGCTGGAATAGTCTTAGCTGACCAAATTATGCAACATGCCCCGATTCTCGGATAGTGCGACATCACCAACATCTTCGAACTTGCTTGGAGGACACTTCGACATGAATATCGTGGTGGTTTCACCGTCCACTATGCCTGAGTGAGGAAGTTGGTCGACTCTTGTTGCTGCTGAGGCCATTTAGTTGCAGTTCGGTTATTGTTATGTGGTAGCTGGGCCTTGATCACAAGATCTAGATTCGCGGTAGCAAGTGGCGACTCAGACAAACGCGCAACGGAATGGATGCTTGGGCAATTGAAGCCGCATTTTCGAGTCAGCAACAATTGTCGACGAAGCAAGATGATTCGAGAGCTTGTCCGTCCCCACCCCCTCTTTGTTTCAAGGGAGAAGAGGGGTGTCCTTGCTCAGAGCATCATCAGCGGTTTTCTTAATTTTTTATTCATTTCCTCTTTCTTTTTTTCATATGCAGTCAACTCGCCATCCAAAACTTCATATCGAACGCTTTTGTCCCACGAATTCCATCTGAAATTGATGCTTTAATGCAACGTTACCAGTCCTTGAAAGAATATTCATAATTGTGTGCTGACAATTTACTAATTTCGTCTTCCATCCATCCAACATCTAAAGTCTGCTCCAAACAACGGACTCGAAACTACCGATGAAGCTCCTTCTATTATATTTACTAGCAAGAACATCAGAAACAGACCACTCACCTTTTGCGCGTTCAAGTAGAGTAAATACAGTAAGAAGTAGGTGACGGCATTCCTGCTCCGTTGGATGCAAGCAGTAGTGAACGACAGAACCATTCCGATAAGGCAAAGCAATTGGAACGCACTTGATGGTAACAGGTTCAAATAGCGATGCAACATTAGAAGAACAGGATAAGGACATTGCCAAAAATAGCCACCTACAATTGCAATAGGGCTCAGGCTAAAACTAGCGTAAAAACATTTCAAGATTTGAGGCACTTTCTAGCAAAAACTGGTTGAAAAGTGGCGCTCAAAAATGAAACAGAGGCTGCTATCAGACTTGCCAGTGAAAAAAGGAGAAACTACAGAAAACGAAAGAAAAGAGCTGAGAGATTTGATACACATACGAGCGGTCTGAGGATCAAATCGTGGGTCGTGGGTCGCCCGGGCTGACCAAGCCTTCCATCCCTCCGGGGTAGGTTAATTACAAGACTAGGTACAAGACTTGCCTGGGAGGATAAAAACACTGAGTTTATCATCGGTCAGCCCCCGCAAGTCATCGTATAACCCACATCGCATTCGGACGCCACTACGAATGTACAAATGGAAGTAGAATGCGTGCCATTGCAAAAGGGATTGATCAACGGCAGGCGCTTTATCCTTTTATTTAGCATAATGTTAGCTTTATTCTTGGCAGTATACAGTACATGATAAGTGCTGGGAGGAGGGCTCGTATCCACTCTCCAAGAGGGGGGAGGGCGTAAAAATTTTGAAATCGTTCCAACGTGACGATTGACCCTACAAGGACATAGAAAGATCGAGAACATTTAGGTCCTCTATGAGCCATTTCACACCCCATATAACACCGTTCCAGATTAAAACCAAAAGACTTTGAGTGCAACTACAGGGTGTGGCAGAATTACGTGCTGCAAGTTGACCACGTATTATTTATTCCGCTCATACTTGGCATTATTAGCGAGCAAGATGATCAGCCTTTTGGTTATCATGTCCCATCGGTTTGAATCCAACCTCAGCACCCACGTAAATGGTTGGAGTCATTTTCCCAGGCCATTCTTTTGAGTGTGCTTGCTCATTGTGCAGAAGCAATAGACAAAATACTAGGTAAGTAATAGAACTATGGGGGTCGTCACCAAATAATGAAATGACTCCGGAGGTAAGAAATGCCGCTGCGAATAGCGAATACAAGCAGCTGCGACTTCCACGAAAAACGCGAAAGTGGCACGATACATTGCGCGGCATGATCCGATTGTCAGAAAGCTGAAAAGAAGCTATCCCTCAACATGTCATATTGACGAGAAAAAGTGCTGGCTTGGAGTACAGCTGCCAAAATGCCTCACTCATTGCTTCATCCATAAAGAGAATCCAAGTCGAGAACTCCAAAATGTTCTCCCAATGGTTATGTTGACACGCCATCAAGACATAGTCTCCTTCGGTGGAATGTCATTCAGGGTAAACTTAACTTTCTAGTTGCCACGTGAATGACCACTTTGCCTGGATTTGTGGAAGCTGGCAACAGATTGAGAATTCATGAATGTCACGGAAACCAACAAAATCATGGATTAGCTATGAAGCTATGAGCTGGATTAGATATGAAGTCATGCTCCCACGTTTTTATCGAGAAGGATGCATATCAAATAGAGGTTACTTGTGGCGTAGATGACCAACATCCTAGTTCCCTAAGCAAAACACCACAACGGATGCGACTGTTCATGTTTCGACCGGGTGCAGCACTAGCTGGTAGATCGAAAGTGACATTGCAGCACTGCGAGGACACGAGCCCTCGCCTCACCAGCGCTCAAAATTGGCCAATCAAAAGCACTTAATACGGTAGAATATATATCATGTAAAGCAGTGTGGAGAACAAAGCTTGCCGTAAAAACACAACCCAGTCAGAGCTCAAATGAAGGACGTGCTCAGTTTGGGAAAATTTCTTCGGAGCACCCAGTTGCTAAGGTAAACGACTTCTCTGCACAAAGGAAGGCTAGAGTTCGGGCCAAGAGGGACAATTGCAATGTGAAGCCAGATTGGTGATGACACGCCATTCTTGTTTTCAATGTTTTGCAGTTGCTACATGGGCGGAATTTAGGCGAGTAATTTTTGACAACCCTGTTCTATTCCTTACAAAAACCGACCAATCATTGTTGGCTCTACCCTTATCTACACTGCATGGCATAATGATACTTGCGCATACAAATTCCCCAAAAACTTGCATCTGAAGATGCTTTTGAAAAATACCTAAGAGGAACTGTGATACAAATCAACACAAAGTACCAGTTCGAAAGAGCACAATTTTTATTCTCATTTTTTGGAAATACCCGCTCTGGCTAACCCGCAAAATCATAGTTCCTCCACATAATCCTCCGCTGCATTTTTTTACCCTATAAAATTCAAAAGTTCCCTTTACATCCCTCATATTACGCAAAAGCAAAACTGCTGTCAGACTTTCATAGAGGGAAACTTCTAGCAAAAGAGGCGCAGGGATGAATGAAGTGTCACTTCACGCTTGAATTGATCGGGGTCACATCATGACGAACAGCTTCCTCGAGAATCCTGCAAGATATAGTACTGTGAAGAACTGTCATTACTATCCGACCGAGCATAAGCACCGTATCATAAGAAAATAATACAACTTCATCAAGCTGCGTACGGAAACCAATACTTCTTCAGAAGTTATTGTTTCTATCCCGCAGTTTAGCGTGTCTCCCAAAACGCTGCTGATAGTTCATGTTGGAGTTAGACGCTTTAATGAGAAGATCATAGAGTAAAACAAGCCATTTTCTTAGAACGTTTTGCCTAGTCGAGCAAAGTGGTGGCTTTTTTCATATGTCATTTCTGATTTGCGTCTTGCTTTCTCATCTTCTTCTTAACATCTGTTTCTCAGACGGATTTTTTTTTACTCTAGCGAATGTATGGAAGAAAAAGATCAGAGTAGTTGAGACTTCAAAAAATCACAGCTAAAAAAGTGTCACTTCGCTCGACTTGCCGGAACATTCTGGAGAAAGTATTTCTCCGTTTCCAGACATGGACTATCACGAGCGTTTTGAAAAACATGTTCCGCCCACTGAGACAATAACCTATGAAGAAGTTTCGATTTCTGAACCCGTTTCATGAACTTGTATTATTTTCTCATGATACGGCGCTTGTGAGGGCGGAAGTGCTGTAGTGGCAAGTGACGCGCTTACCACGCCAGCGACCTGGGGATCAAATCCTGGGACGTGAGTCGCCCAGGCTAACCAAGCCTCCATCCCTCTAGGGTCAGGTAATTGGTACCAAACTTCTTTGGAAGGATGAAAACACTGACTTGTACATCGCCTGGCTCCGCAAGTCATCGTCTAGGTCACATCGCATTCAGACGCCACTACGAATGTACAAATGGAAATAGAATGCGTGCCGCATTCCACAAAGGGATTGGTCAACGGCAAATGCTTTATCCTTTACCCTTAACGGCGCTTATCTCAGACGTGTAGTAACCAGGGTTCTTCACAGTATCCCATCCTGCGGGAGAAAAGTGTCATGAAGCAACCCCGAAATTTCAGCGTAAAGTGACACTTCGACAATTAATGCGCTCCTTTGCTAGGATTCCTCCTATGAAAGTCACACAGCAGTTTGGCTTTACTAAATCGCTTGTATGTGCGGTTGGTATCCTGCACGTCGGCACAGTCAAAAGCTTGCATGAAAGTGACTAAGTACATGAGAGGCGATTCGGGGCCGCTTCCAAAGCCGTTGTTCCGTTCTGGCACAGTGTGGCTAACCACCTTGAGGTCTATCCTAGTCTACATGACAGAGGCAAACTGGCAAACTACTGATAGGTCGCGGATACGCCGATAAGAAAACAGCAATATACATGTGTATGGGCCGCATTCTCCTGAGCCTGAGGGAGCACCAATACGGCAGCGTTGAGTAAGAGCGTTCGGGAGAAGCTGCTAGAATGGGCTGCCTAAACGAAAGACTAAGATGGCGATTTGTCCTTCCAACGCACGAACGCTTGCATCTAAAGCACACGTCGAAGACCTGATGATGCAAGCCAGGAAGATCAATTACGACAACTTCGAACTGACCGAGCGAGAAGGCACCGCCCGCTACATGCCGTCTTCGATAGTGGAGAACTGTTTCTCGAAACATGCAACAGCAGAGGTGTTAGCTCAGGTGTCCTCGTCAATGGCACCTGCCCGTGAACATCGATTCGTACTAAGCCCTAACGACCCGAGTGGGACGTTTGCGATTAAAAAGATGTGGTATCGCGGTTTCACCGCGATCATGCGGTCGATTTTTACAATCAATACTTTTAATCATTGTATATGTTGGCTTGCCTCAGCCTAATCGATTGGAATTTCAGATGGTCGTCAGAACACGTGCGCATTTCTTCGTCGGACAAGATGTCGAAAGGTACAAAAAGAAAGTGTCACTGAGACCGCATAAAGGGACTCCGGCACGGTCCTCAGGGTTCCAGTCGTCGAACGTCATTTTTTACAGTTCCCTTCAATCCCTATATTCTGCTTCACTGCTTCATTCTGTATCAATTCTGCCTTTTAACAGGATAAAGTGCACCTTATACAAGTTGTTATTGTGCCAAGGATATACGCGGATCAAGAGCAAACTGTGTAGCACGGAGAGCAGTATTACACATGTAAATTATTATATGTGATTCAACTCGTGCTTTGACAATCTTCGCCTACGCACCTACGTCCAACTAAGACGAATGAGATCGTGAAGCATTTCATAGGGAATTGGAGAACTTATACAGGGATGATAATACTTCCTTTGAGCGCCGGCCTCCGGGTGTACGTTCACTCTCGGCACTACTCTCGCACAGTGCAAAGCCATGGTCGAGGAATTCCTCGCCGATATTCACCCTACCTCTCACGTTCGTTGGGCTTGGGAGTGACCTGATGGACAGTTCCATAACGAGATAGACATCATCATCTTCAATCGAAGGTTTTGCCTGACCGGCGTCGCTGTTGTTCCAAAGTTTTGCACCGATCGGGCCATCGCCTTTCCGCGCAAGATTCCACTGCTCGATGCGCGTTGAGAGAGCAGCAAAGTTCAGGGGCCGTGTGCAACAAGCGCCGAGGCTCGTTGAGGACATATTCAATTCGGGGCTTGTTGCGTACAGCCTCGCGGACATATCCCTGACCACCTTCGGGGCTTATTGCACATAAGGTCGTCGGGCAGGGGGATGAATTCTCCTACTCTCGATTAGGGGAATCATCCCCTCAGCGTCGACAAGTAGTACTTGCAGTTTATTCAGCGTTCAGTTAGATGATAAATTTGGCGTGGTGCCAGATGCATGAAGGCGGGTACTGCGAAACGGATACTGTCATTGTCTTTATCTACTCTCAATTCTGCTATACAAATGCACACGATGACTCATTGATTTTTACGATCATGTCCAATTATTTGCCGGCATTGAAGTGCTAGCTCACTTGAAATTTACTCCAATTATCGTGTTTTTCTTCATGACAACCGAGTCTATCATCGGTTTTACCGATGTATTTCGTTTCAATTCGAGTGCTCATCGATCAGGCAAACTAAGTCGTTCTTTCTAGGCACACTCAGAAGAGGATATAGCCTTGGTGTAAATTTCACGTTTAGACCCATTTAACATGCGATTTTTTCGATCTCTTATACATCGCTTTCTTAAGAGAATGTAAGGCAGTCCCGAATGTTTTCCGTCTCTTCCGCTATATCTTTCGTAAGGAGAGCGTCTGTGAAGAGCCGTGACCTGCTGATTTTGAGGTCAATGACGCGATTGATTTTCACCGTTCTAAGAGCCTCTACTAGACAAACGTTCCGGAAGTTTTTTCATCGCCTCTCTTGACAGATTGGGATTGGCTTTTCAATTTTTCAGATGCCGTGATTTTTACTCTATTTCCAGGGTAGGAAAGGAAGTGCGCATTGCGAAAATCGTTCCAAGAGATGCACGACTGAGAAGAATTTACCCATGAAGCATAAAGTGTTTTGTGATTTATGGGCTTAAATTCGAATACTTTGTCAATCTTTATGGACTAGAACTGCAGAATATTGCACATGAACGAGCACTGTGTTGAGGGAGAAGTTTCCTTTATGATTTCACTCACCCTTCCTATATATTGTAGCGATTCAGTGGTCAAAATGCTTCAACTTAATTTGCACTACAACGTAGCTGTGGTCACCGGAGTCCATATTATGGGGTGGTCATGAGTACAATCTGGCTAGTGCCCTACTCATGGCCACCATCGATGAGCACTCGAAAGTTGAAACCAAATACATCGGCTAAATCGATAATAGACCCTTTGTAGAGAAAACAAGTAAGTAAATCACGATAGGAATAACTTTCAAGTGAACCAGCGCTTCAATGCCGGCAAATAATCGGACATGATCTGCAAGTATCATGTACGTGTCGAAGCAGTCGGGGATGAATCCCCCTAGTCGAGAGTAGAGGGTTGATCCCCGACGTTCTAGAACAGCGTGTCCCCGACAACCTTATGCAACAAGCCCCGAGGGTTGTCGGGGATATGTCCCCGAAGTTGTATGAACGTCTCAGGGCTTGTTGCATACGACTTCGGGGATATGTACACATCGGTGTACACATCGTTGTCCGCCTCTACGGAAGTTGATTCATTAAATCACACCTCAAGTACTCTCATGACTTTAACGACTCTAATATGAGTTGTCCCATACCTAATAAATCAATTGGGGTATTTTTTGACTCATTTTTTCTTTTTTATTCGAAGTCCTTGCTTACCCAAACATACACCCCTATCATCTACAATATATGGCCCATACATGGGAATTTGGTCGCTGGGTTCCCTCTAAATTCGCAGGAACTCTTGAACGTAGAAAGACCGGAAATCGGGTTCGGGTTCATGTCACTTATCGTAGAATTTCTTCCTGAGAAGGAGCGCTCGAGCTCAGACTGGGCTGTCTTGGCACGATAAGGTTACACGGCGGAGATAAAAGAACTGCCAGCCGGGAAGTCTCCAACTTTTTATCGTTGTTTTGCGTATGCTGAAAAGTCGTTCAAGGGATTTTGTGAGGTCAAACCCTCAAGAGGCGCGAGGACCTAGGGATAGTTATAGGCGTGTCAGGTCACGCGTCTCTAGGACGCGTGTCCTGACAGTATCCTTTCCGGCTTGTTTCTGGTGAGAGAGTGCTCACCAACCCTCCCATATTTTTAGTCACATTGTTACTTTTTTGGGCCCCAGGTGATGGCATGGTCCGAAGCAATCGCAACAACTCGCGACGGAGGATTGGAAGAGTTAGCCCAAATCGTGGGCAAATCCGCCACCAACCCGCTTACTCAGAGCACAATGTAAGCTTACTCGTCCATGAGAAGCCGCTTCGGGGTTTTCACAGCTCTTCTCCCCATATCGCGATCTCATTTGGGGAACTTAAGAAGCTTTTTATCGCCTACTTAATATATAAAGATCAACCTGAAAGCATATCAATGGCTCACCCCTAAACTTCCTTTACTGGCGCCTGGAGGGCGGGGAAGCCGAGCTTCAAAAACTTCGTGTAGATTCCGCAAAAAGGGAGGCCCCTGCAGGTTGTTCTAAACGGAGGCTTCACGAGAAGACGTAGTTACGGGCGATTCGGAGTGAATCACAAGAACACATCCTGGACGCATGTGCTATTCTTCATTCGTTCCTCGCCTTTCTAAAAATAAGTGAAGCATTCAACGTCCACAGGAAGCACCTTTAATACAAAGGTGCAGGGCTTTGATGGCTCCTCATACCCAAACTCGAGACTGACCAGTTCAAAAGAGGGGTCACAGTGTCGTTCAAAGTCTCGGGGATATACAAAATACAGTGGGGCAAGCTCATTCAGCAGCTGCATAGAAACGGGGACCATTTTCTTTTCGCTTCTACCTCAGGACTTCCTCCGACAACAGATTCAATGAGGAAACGGATGAACGAGATACTCCGTTTCGCTGGCTTACACCACGAAGGCGTGGCCCCGCATTCTTCACGGTGAGGCTCAGCTGCAGCACTGAGAAGGGCTGTCAGCCAAGACGATATCAAGAGAGTGGGGCGGTGGAAATCTACTTCATCGATGTTTCACTACACACTGGGTGGCTACTAAATATTGGCGCATGGTTTATTGACCATATTTTTGCAAAGAGAAACTATTACATATTCAGAAGTTTATTCTTATATACAGTGAAACATATCCATGCATCACTGAAGGTGCTCGAAATGGCCTCCCTCGGCAGTAGTGCAGACCCCAAGTCTCTTCTCAACTGACATCACCGTGGGCCGCAAGTAAGTGACGTCAACGTGACGCGAGAAGATCATCGCACTGGAATTGGCGCACAATTCTCAAAAGGACAGGCAACGGTAGGATCCGGCTAGCAGGCATCCTGCTCGACGTCGTGCGCACACAAGGAGCCGATTTCTAAAATCTGTGATGATTTAGGCATGAATTACTTCCGACACCGAAACGCCGTTTGTCATTGTGAACAAATCCGTCAAAATTAACGCCCAGATCTACCAGGAAACAATTTTACGTGATGCGCTCGTTCCATGGACTGTTTCGACCTACAACAAATGTCAGTACCTTCTTCAGTAAACTAGGCTCCTCCCCATGCCGCAACTACGCTGGTATTATTCTGTGACCGCCATTTTCCAGGTTACTGGTCACCAGATGTTTGGCCATCTAACTCACCCGATTGTACCTAATGGATTTGCGGTGTGGGGCTTCCTGCAGCAGAAGATGCCTTCTAGGCAACATCGAAGTTCGGACTTCCTGAAGGATTCCTAGGAGGAAGCGTCGAAGTAACTCGACGAAAACTGCTTGCGGCCCACGGTGATGTCAGTTGAGAAGAGACTTGAAGCCTGTATCGCCGCCGGAGGATACTCTTCCGAGCATCTAGCAATGAATTGTTATGTTTTAGTGTTTATAAAGATAAACCTCTGGAGATTTAATAGATACTCTTTTTGGAAATATGGTCAATTAACCATGCGCCAATATTTGGTAGCCACCCTTTAGAGCCTACTCCGATTTGAGGTCAAACATCCTTAGGTTCACCGTTTTCTGACATGGAAGTAATCATTATTCAGAAAGTACGAGACTTCTTCAGATACAGCGCAATGGCCTGTCAACTGTTCCAGGCAGGCTCACAGCCATCTCAACTCAACTACTTCAATACACCCATCACCCAAACCGACTACTTTTCGCAAGACGCCGATCTGAAAATGGTTCAGCTCCAGTTTAGTCTCATGATTACATTGATATTCGTTTTCCTCTGTTCTAAGATGTTTCGATCCTTTGTAGATACTTATGTTCATTATATCACGTTCGCTTTTCTTACGTTTCAGGATGTTTTGATCTTTTGTTGATGGTTACTTGCTTATACCAGCTTAGCTGCGCACGCACTCGCGTGCATCACACGGGACTTCATTGGTACGAAATAGGGCCATTGATTTTCTATAGTCCACCGTGGGAAACTCCACAAAACCTCGATGACGCTCACCAATAGCATTTGGTCCCTTTCTTTCGCCAACCTTTATCCACTTTCCCCAGCCTCTGGGCTCTCTTTGACCGACCTGTAATATCGCGTAACAAACTCCACCTACTACAAGGCACGATCCTCCCCAATAGCAGTTGAACTGCCTTCCGCTGACGGAGTCAATCCCCTTTTTTCCCTATAGGACTTCTCGAAGCTTCAGAATTACAAATTTTCGTGGATAATTCCGCACATTTTGTTCTGCCTATCCACCAATAGCAGCTGTCAACTCCTGCACCTACCTCTATCCACCCTTTCCCGGTCAGCGCGACTTCTTGGAACCGAGTTATGAATTTTCGTAGTAAATTCCGCCCACTTCGGACATATCCCACCCATCACTGACTTTTACCTCCATTCCTTCTCTGAGCTCTATCCACCCTTTTTCGGCTTTCTAAGACTCCTTGGAATTGGAACTGAATTATGAGGACTTATGGTAAGCGCTGTTTAGTTTGGGACACGCTCCGCCCAGAGGGCCTGCGCCCACATTATGTATGCTGGGAACACCTAAGACGTTGCTCCCCTACACCAATTTGTTTTCTGCTCTGTAGGTTTTCTCCCAACCGAATTATCAAATTTTTTACTAAGCACTGCTTTCTTGGAGAGCCCCCACCCAGCGAGGTGGGTCTCCCTGATTCGATCTGGCTTATCAATACACATCTTTGCGTGCACCACGAATAACCATGTCGTTTGCCAGTATGGAAGGCAAGGAGACTGTGCACAACGAGGGATGTATACCAACTTCAATGTTCAACCTGTGACGAAATTTATATTGATGAGACGGGCAGGATGCTAGACGTGCGTCTTAAAGAACTATGGCAGGAAAAAGGCGCGGGAATCTACTTACTCCACTTGGCAAGCACCGAAGAAGGACATTAGGGTAATGATTTTGAAAACGACATGTGTGCTAGAGAAATGTTAGAGGCGTTTTATATCCGCGTGGAGAATCCAAGACTGAACAACCGGAAGAATGCATCCATTACCAATAAATTCTTGCCTTTCATTCCTTTATGTGGACTGTAAGATCACCACATACAACACGTAGGACGCTAACTGTTCAGTGGTGTCTCATTTTATTTGTTCACTAACAAGAGGAGGCTGCTAAAACTGGTGGCTCACCACAGGTTATTTCGGTCGCTTGGGTCGTTTATTTGCACTATTTCGCCTTTCCGGGAACTTAGTAAGAATAGGCGCTTCACCGGGTGAGCTAAAGAGCTAGGACTTCAAACCAGTTTCAGGTCCTGAAGACGACAAATTGTCGAAACGTTGACCAATGAACGTGTTCTACCATAGCAACCTGTATGGCACAGAGGAAAACATTACAATATCCAAAATACCCAGGTTCCAAGAAACCGAACATGGGATTCTTGGTTTTTGCACCGTTTTAAAATCATAAACTCACCCTGAGGAAAATAACGAACCCTAATGATAAAGGATAAAAGGATATCATTTGCCGTTGATTAACCCTTTTTGTGATGCGGAACGCATTCTACTGCTATTTGTACATTCGCAGTGGCGTTTGAATGCGATGTGGCCTATACAATGACTTGCGGGGGCCAGCTGATGTACAAGTCAGTGTCTTTTTATCCTCCCAGGCAAGGCTGGTACCAATTTACCGACCCCGCTGGGGTGGAAGGCTTGAAAGGCCCGGGAAAATCACGACCCAGGACTCGATCCCAAACCGCTCGCGTGGTGAGCGTGCCACTTGCCACTACGCCACTTCCGCCCAAACCCTAATTAGGATCAACATAATATGCCAGTAAGAGCGAACGTCTATCACTAACAACCTTCGGACTACATTTTCAGAATGCCTCGAGGGGGTCTTTCGGAGAGGGCAAGAGTTATGCACTTCGAGATGCTGGGCTCAAAATACATAAATCTTACCCTGCAGGTGCAGGTGCAAGAGTCATTGCGAAGCATTTGGAAAATTTCTTGCTCAATTCTTAGATGTTCGGAGCTAGCATGTCTCCAGATGTTCTACAAGTTCTGGACACTCCCCTGCGTTCACTATCACCGAACGCAGAAGATTTTGACGACTCTTTCGAGCATCGAGGGTGTATTGAAGAAGACGAAGAACATCCGGCTTCGTGCCCACCTCTTCGATTCTGCAGTCTTTCCTGCCTTAACCTACCCCTAATAGTCTTGGACTTTGCGCAGCCAGGACGAGCGGTCAGCGTTATCCAACGCGCTGTAGAGGAAGAGCAACCCTATACACGCAAGTGCAGAGAGAAATTCGGAGCTCCGAACTACGCCAACGGTCAGACCAGGGACGCTACCGTTTTCGCCAAGGAATCGAAGATAAGGTGGGCGGACATATTACTGCGATTTTGTGATGGCCGTTGGAGCAGAGCGGTTTCTTACTGGATCCCTCAGGACTTCAAACGAACACCTGGACAACCATCGGCCCAATGGTCAGATTACTTCACGAAAGTACTGAACGAAAGGAATGAAGGACTCGTGTCCTTCGAGCGAGGAGGATCCAGTGGACAGCTCTGGCACGCGGACGAAAGGAGACGTTGCTGGCGCCCGATCGAGCAAATCGATGACAACGGGACGAGAGGTGATACAAGTGATAGATTCGCGTGTAGTTGAGCACTTGTTTTTGTCAAAAAATAAAGGCCGGAGAGAGGTGGAAAGAGGCAGACACGTTGTCAGAAGGCAGCAAATATGGTCCCCAAAATTGTTCAAAATCTCGAATGCCACACTGTTTCTGGAAAATATCAAACAGGAGAACTGTGTCAAATTCGGTTGCAAATTCGAAAATCAATACAAAGTTCCAGATTGCAAATGCGGAAAAAAATCCAACCCAACTTTTTCCACAAAGAGTCGCTTTTAGAACGTCTCCAAATGATACAGCCACTGAGTGTCTCTTCGTTGCATTTCATTTCTGCTCGATGAAATTGATTGGCTTTGCTTAATCGTTCTTTCTAAGTTCATCAGAGAAGCAACTCTTAGACTTCGAAGAATGGGAAACCGTCACAAAAAAGAAAAATTAAGATCTAGGTGGTCACATTGCGCGAGACATAAGTCGAAACTACGGAATGGTTAGCAATTTCTTTCAGAAACCTGTACGAATACGAACACGAAATGAAACTTAGAAGGGCTCCGGACTTTTCTATTTGCTTTCTGATTAAGAGATAAACGCAACATTATGAGAACAGCACCAAATTTCACCAAGGCGTGTTCGGGAGTTGAGTCTCCTTTAAAAGTTAATCTCTCACTGGATAGTGTTTGATGTGTAACTTCCAAGATCTTTCTTAAGCGGAAATTGAAAAAGATGGTGATTTTGAAAAGAAACCGTCGCGAAAATCGAGTGATTTTTGCAAGGGGAGTCTGACCAAGCCAACCAGAGCAGGACCCATTTTCAGCCTGTTCTGTTGCATTTTTTTTGCCATTCCTTCAACGCTTTTTGATCCAGATGGTTTCATCCTGCAGGAAAGCGGGGAAAAACTTGTAGGTAAAGCAGAAAAGAAGTAAAACAGGACAGGCCGAAAATGGATCCTGCTCCGGTTGGCATGGCCATACTTCCCTTTAAAAAATAACTCGGTTTTGCGATAGTTTCTTTTCAAAATCACCGTTTTTTCCACTTTCCGCTAAAGAACGACCTTGAAAGTTATTCGCTGCATACCCAGCACTATCCACCGAGAGATTAAGTTTCAACGAAAACTCGAATTCCGAACACGCACAGTGAAATTTAGTGCTGTTCTCATAATGTCGCGTTTATTTTAATCAAAAAGCAAAGGATAACGTCCAGAGCCCTTCACAGTTTCATTTCCTAAAGGATTCCAGAAGAAAGTGCTAATCATTCAGTAGTTCCGACTAAATTCTCATCAATGTGACCACCTGGCGCTTAATTTTTTTTGACGATTTCCCATTTTTCGAGTCCAATAGTTGCTTTCATTCTCTGATGACTTAAAAAAGAACTATTGAGGAAAGCCAGTCAGTTTCATCGAGCAGAAATGAAACGCAACGAAGAAACAATGGGTGGCTGTATCATTTGGAGACACTGAGAAAGCGGCCCTTTCTGGAAAATTTAGAACAAATTCTTTTCGCATTTTCAACCTGGATTCAGCTTATTTTCGAATTCGCAACCAAATTTGACACAGTTTTCCTATTGGACATTTTTCCAGAAAATTTGAGGATTCGAGATCTTAAACAATTTCTAGGTTGCTGTATAATTAAGAGACGCAGTGTAGTTACGGCAGACTCCACGACGACGGCACCATAAAGGTAAATAGTTTAATTTAGGTTGGCATTTTCTGCGCGAAGGAGGTCAATTAACACGTTGACCACAACGCAAGTTTTGACTTTTTTGGACAGCAGATGTTGAGTGATAAATGTATAAACAATGATCAATATAAAACCAGATTAGTAAATTGTAATGAGCACAATCTACTCAGAGGTATAGTATTGGAAGTTCGATTAATAGACATGGAATGACAATAAAAAATCGAAATGTGTCACAACTAGCTGTAATAGGCCTCAAAAGCTACGTTCACTATTTCGATCAAAACACACATATTGTCATCCCTAAGGTCCCGTAATTACTTCAAAATTAAGTTCTGATTCGAATCTTCACATTCATAAAAAGAAAAAGTAAACGAAAACTTATTAAACTGAGGAATTTGTATGGTTCAGAAATTCTCCTCTAAATTAAAGCATACGTGACCATACAGTGGGCCACTATGTTTGTGG